ATCACCTGACTCAGAGCAGCTCAGGTGAGGTCGAGTCATTCCAGCACAGAAGAAGAGTGAGGTCACAGCAGCCGTCAGTGCCTGATCATTGATAACATCACAGAGGTGGTTATAGATTCCACAGTGTCACTTGTGCTCAGCGCAGATAAAGGAAGCTCATTATGCTATTATGGGATGTACATGATATACGGGAGTGTCCCAGTGTGTTCTGCAGCCCCGTGCTGCACACTGGTCATATTTACAGTGTCAACAGAGGGAACAACAACAGTGTACAGGTGTGTATCTGTCCAGGTGTGTATCTGTACAGGTGTGTATCTGTCCTGTACAGGTGTGTATCTGTACAGGTGTGTATCTGTACAGGTGTGTATCTGTACAGGTGTGTATCTGTCCTGTACAGGTGTGTATCTGTCCTGTACAGGTGTGTATCTGTCCAGGTGTGTATCTGTACAGGTGTGTATCTGTACAGGTGTGTATCTGTCCTGTACAGGTGTGTATCTGTACAGGTGTGTATCTGTCCTGTACAGGTGTGTATCTGTCCTGTACAGGTGTGTATCTGTACAGGTGTGTATCTGTACAGGTGTGTATCTGTACAGGTGTGTATCTGTCCTGTACAGGTGTGTATCTGTACAGGTGTGTATCTGTCCTGTGTCCAGGTATTAGAATGGTCACCAGCTGATGTTGAGTCGGTTCAGTTCCTCTCCAGGTGTGACAGCGTCAGGATCACCTGCAGCTCTGTGTCTTTATGATGCCGTTAATGATTGAACCGTTTTATGTTGAGCTGATAATGTTGATCGGTTCATGTGATCGATCAGCTGATCGCTCCACTCAACATCTGCATCTGTTTCCAATGTGAACATCTGTGTGTTTATTATTGATTGTGTGAAGCTTCTCATCATCACAGATCTGAGTGATTATAGATGGACCTGGTCATGATTGATAATCAGTTGTTTGATTTTCCTGCTGCAGGTCTGTGTTTCAGAGGTTTAGAGCTGAGGGTGAGTACGAAACATGTTCAGGATCCAGTGGTTCACATTTGACTGGCTGGAAGTTTCTATTGGTGAATAATCTTCTCCACCTGGTCTCTCCTGGTCTCTCCTGGTCCCTGCTGGTCCCTGCTGCTCTCTCCTGGTCCCTGCTGCTCTCTCCTGGACCCTGCTGGTCCCTGCTGGTCTCCCTGGACCCTGCTGGTCCCTGCTGGTCTCTCCTGGTCTCTCCTGGTCCCTGCTGGTCCCTGCTGCTCTCTCCTGGTCTCTCCTGGTCCCTGCTGCTCTCTCCTGCTCTCTCCTGCTCTCTCCTGCTCTCTCCTGGTCTCTCCTGGTCTCTCTTGGTCCCTGCTGCTCTCTCCTGGTCTCTCCTGGTCCCTGCTGGTCCCTGCTGCTCTCTCCTGGTCTCTCCTGGTCCCTGCTGGTCTCCCTGGTCCCTGCTGGTCCCTGCTGGTCTTCAGTAGTCAGACGGAGCTGCTGGACTGAGGTGGACCGGGTCATGGCCTCCGGTAAGAACAAGAACCAGACGTCTCTGGTCCTCCATAAGGTCATCATGGTGGGCAGCGGTGGCGTGGGGAAGTCCGCCCTCACGCTGCAGTTCATGTACGATGAGGTGAGGTCTCCACACTACATCTCCCATGATCCTCTGCTCCCCCCACCTCCTGTTTCTGAGTGACGATAATAATACCGGCGTGTGTGTGTGTGTGTGTGTGTGTGTGTGGTCTCAGTTTGTGGAGGACTATGAGCCGACCAAGGCCGACAGCTACAGGAGAAGGTGGTGCTGGACGGCGAGGACGTGCAGATCGACATCCTGGACACGGCGGGACAGGAGGACTACGCCGCCATCAGGGACAACTACTTCCGCAGCGGCGAGGGCTTCCTGCTCGTCTTCTCCATCACCGAGCACGAGTCCTTCACCGCCACCTCCGAGTTCAGGTACGGCCGTGCCCAGTCCTCCTCCTGCAGATCCCCGCCCCCCTGCTGTGCTCATCCAGGTGTGTGTGTGTGTGTGTGTGTGTGTCAGGGAGCAGATCCTGCGGGTGAAGGAGGAGGAGGCCATCCCTCTGCTCCTGGTCGGGAACAAGTCGGACCTGGAGGAGCGGCGCCAGGTGACGGCCGAGGAGGCGGCGGGGAAGGCCGGAGAGTGGGGCGTCCAGTACGTGGAGACGTCGGCCAAGACCAGAGCCAACGTGGACAAGGTGCAGAGACAGAGACAGAGACAGAGCTTCTGATTGGCTGGATTCAGTGAACTGATGTGATACAGTCGACATACTGAGTGTTAATGATAGAACCATCCAGACTTCATCAGCTCATACAAACCATTTTGAACACGGTGCGTTCAGGTGCAGGCTGTTTCTGCGGGTCGGCTGAGCTCCCTGTGGACTCTGGGTCCTGCAGCAGGAGGCTCCTGTAGAGGGAGCAGCTCGTCTCCGCTCCGCATTCCTGAGTCCACAGCTGGAGACGTCGACGTTAGCGACTCGCGCTAACACGTCCTCACCTCAGGTCTTTGTGCCTGGAGGGAGCTTACATGTCCTGAGCTGCCACACTAACCCCCCCATTCTTCTTGTTCCTTCCCTCCCTCTCTCAGGTGTTCTTCGACCTCATGCGGGAGGTTCGCAAGAAGAAAATGTCCGAGAGCAAAGACAAAAACGGGCCGAGCGGCAAGAAGAAGAAGAAGCGCTGCTGCATCCTTTAAGGTGGAGGTGACACGGTGCCAAACCCAGAACAACAACAACAACAACAACAACAACATAAACCCAATAAAAACAGACTGAAGAGCAGCAGCAGTGTCCACACATCAATCTGCTGCACGCTCTGACTCCGCCCCTAGCTCCGCCCCCTGGGCTGTTACTTCTGTAGAAATGCGGCGTGTTCCAGCTCATGTTTCACTTCCCTCTCTCTGCTTCTTCTTTCTCTGCACACTGACACTACTTCCTGCGGCCACAGCTCTGTGGACACGTGTGAGAGCAGAACCAGCGACGTCTGAGGTCTGGATCGCCGGGCCGCGCCGGGCTGAGGTCTGGGCCCGGGGATTCTGGGAAATCCACTCTGTGGGAGGGGGCGTTGTCACATTGAAACAGGAAGTGGGAGAAGACAAACAGCTACTGTGAAGGTGGAGGGAAACACAGTGTGTTATCTCACCTGTGCAGTGGTTTCTACGGTGGCCCTGAGGGATCAGTGCACCGCAGCATGTGTTGACCCCTCAGGGCCACCGTAGGTTCAGCAGATAGAATAAAACCAGCACCAGGTTGTTTTTCCTCTGACTCACCTGGAAACAACACACACATGTCCACAAACCTACGGCCTTCTTCCTTCCTTCCTTTCCTTTCCTTTCCTTTCCTTCCTTCTCCTCTTCACCTGTGGGCGGAGTCACAACAACAAAGGGAACCCCATGGTGTTTGCTGACGTGTTGACAATCTCTCCACAAGAGTTCGCTTTTACAAAATTCTCCCCAAAAATCCAAAATGTTCCACTGTGAGATTTTTGTGCCTTAAACTGTTTTTTGTTGTCGTCTCCGTCTCTGTCGTCACGTGAAGCGTCGAGTGGCAGCTTCAAACACCTGGAGCCAAAACCTCTCCTCTCTCTGTCTGTCTGTGTGTCTCTTCCTCCTCCATGTTTTCCCACATTCCTGATGTGTAATGACACTTGAGACACTCCACCTGTATGAAAGCTTTCTCCTCCACCCCCCCCACCCCCCAGACCAACACAAATATAATTTATAATCACGTTTCAAAGGGATCTACTATTTAAATCACTCGCTGCGTCTTGTTTGTCATATCCATTTGATAATAAAAGAAGAGACGATCGATCAGCGGCGCTCCGTCTGCGTTGATCGGACGTTTTCAATCACCTGTGGATCTGTGCTGATTTTCTTCGTATGAGTATTTCAGCAGCCGAGTTAAAATCTGTCTGAAGTGGTGAACGTAGAGTCAAACGAGACAAACAGGAAATAAAGTCACTGAGTCTGAAGATGAAAGGTTTGAAGAGCTCAGAGTGCGAGTCAGAAAAAACTGTGACTTCATTCACAAAGTAAAAAAAAACAGTGTTGGTTCGTCAGAGAAAAAGCAGCTGAGTCACATGAACCGTGTTAATTATATGAAACATGGTCGTGTGGAGAGAAAGAGAGTTTAAAGCCAGGTTCATGTGAGGTGTAGTTTGTCACTGAGGCCACTGGGTGGAGCTCTGGGACCAGGTTTATAGATCAGACACTGAGACAGTGTGACTGTAACTCTGTCATCGATGAGGAATATTTACAGACAAAGAGCTGTGACAGAAACAGAAACCAGGAGTTTAAATAAAGTTTAATTATTCAATTGTTATCAGATTGACAGATCAATAGGATCGATCAGAATCAATCAGCTGCTGCTCAAACTGACACTGAGGTTTTATTTTCCCTCAGTCAGTGAAGGTTTCTGTGAGCTCTGTTTCATGACAGCATCACTCTGTGTTTGACCTCTGACCTCCTGCTGCAGGTGGAGGTCAGAGGTCGTGTTCCTGTGCTGTCAGTGAATGTGATGTTTCTGTTTCGCAGGAATGTGACTCTTCATCAGAGATTAGACACAGACGCCATGATTCAGACTGAGGATGTCAGAGAGGAACAGCTCCTCTGACAGGCAGGTGCCCCCCCCTTCTGTTTTATTACGTGTCACCTGTTGCAACATCACAACAGGAAAGAGGCAGTTTAAACATGAAGTTAAATCAATCAAAGGTCAGTGTTGTTATTAGATAATGATTGAACTCTATCAGTTTGACCTCTGACCTCTGTGAGGAGGAGGAGGATGATGAGTAGAGACTTCCTCGTCTCCACCTGATGATGTAACTCTGTTGATTCAGGAACTCCTCACAGTGTCTGAGAAAACACAAAGACTTCTCTCTCTCAGTCTCTGACTAGACGCCGCCTCCTGATGGTCACCATGACGACCTGCAGCTCCTCCTCCAGGACAGGTGACAGGTGAGAGAGAGGTGAACTCGCCCATTTCCCAAAGGAAAATGAGGGGGAAGTGTGTAATATCAAGGCTGTTGAGGCAGGATTCAAACCTGCAACCTTGGCGTTGCCAAGGCGACACCCTAACCTCTGCACCACAGGACTCACAAACTGAGGAGTTTGCTCTGCTTGCAGCTTTCACACTAACGAACATCAGATGGAAGGCTGTGGTGCGTTCACTGACCTGGGATCAGCTCTGGAGCCTCTGTGTGTGTGTGTGTGTGTGTGGTGCGTTCACTGACCTGGGATCAGCTCTGGAGCCTCTGTGTGTGTGTGTGTGTGTGTGTGGTGCGTTCACTGACCTGGGATGTCTGGAGCCTCTGTGTGTGGTGCGTTCACTGACCTGGGATCAGCTCTGGAGCCTCTGTGTGTGTGTGTGGTGCGTTCACTGACCCTGGAGCCTCCTGGTGAGTTCCCTCTGTTAGAAACAAACATGTGGCTCAGACTAAATCCTAATCATCAGTGTCAGTCAGAGTCTAAGCCTCTTACAGTAATACACCTGCTGCTGAGCCCACAGCCCGGACCTCCTCCTGCTCCTGCTGCTCCTGCTGCTCCTCAACATGACGATGGCTCTGTGACTCCCTCTCGTCCGGGTCGGGTTCAGGTTCTTTCTGAGGAGAACCGGAGATGCTGAGCGGAGACCTGGTGGCCCTGTGGGAGGTGGCGCTGAGCGACGGCGTCTACAGGATCGAGTTCGCCCACGGCACCACCACCGGGAAACGGATCGTCTATGTCAACGGACAGGTGAGACGGTGAGACCTGACCGTGACCTCACCGATGACATCACACCGTTAATTATCAGGAACTGTTTAATTAAAGACGTGAACACAAAAGACTTCAGCTGTAGATCTGCAGAGACACCAGAGTCATGGAGGAGGAGGAGTGGTTCTATAAAACACCAGAGAAGAAGAACGCAGAGTAAACGTGTGACCAGTTTTCATGCTTCAGTTTTCTGAATGAAACAAATGTTCTTTTACTTTGATAGGAGTCCACTTCCTGTTGTTTTTCTCTTTATTGGTGGGTTTTCTGCTGTGTTGTAGCTCTGTGGGCTAATGCTAATGCTAATGCTAATGCTAAACACTCCAGGGATCAATGAATAGTCTAATCACACATGATCTGAAGTTACACTATTAATCTCTGAGTGGTGGTCCAGTTCCTTTTCTAACCTGTAGCTCCACCCTCTTCTAACCTGTGGCCCCGCCCCTCTGTTTTGCTTTCTGATCATTAGCTCCACTGTCCTGTCTGATTGAGGCAAAATGAGGATTTTAATTTAATGCTCCGCTCAGTCTCAGGTGAAGCTAAATGCTAACGCTAAGGGCCTCCACCTGTGTGGTGGCTCCACCCTCCAGAGGAGTCCCACCGTTTACGTGGAGACGCTCCTGCATCATTAGTGTCTGAACGTTTCCACTTCCTGTAGCAGAGAGCCGTATGACCGGACCTCCACCCTCGTGTGTCCGCAGGAAGTGATCAGGAAGGACTGGATGTTCAAGCTGGTGGGGAAGGAGACGTTCACGGTCGGAGGCACCAACACCAGAGCCACCATCCACATCGAGGCCGTCAGCGGCTTCGCCTACGAGTACTCGCTGGAGATCGACGGCAAGAGTCTGCAGAAGTTCATCGACGACCGGGCCAAGAGCACCAAGACCTGGCTGCTGCAGGTGGAGGGGCAGGACTACAGGGTGGTGCTAGGTGAGCTCTGATTGGTCCTCTGTGGAGGGGGGGGGGGGGGGGCTGACCCTCTGTGGGTTTATCTGCTCAGGTCAGGTCAGGTCAGTGCAGGTATTAAAGGAAATGCCGCGACCAGCAGCTTCCTGTTGCACACACACAGGTGAGAGTGGTCATGTGACCGAGGGGAGGAAGTGAAGGAGACAGGTGGAGAGTCATGATGTCAGAGGTCTGTTTGAAGTCGTCCTACTGAAACCTGTTCTCTCTGTGTTCACGTCAGAAAAAGACACGATGGACGTCTGGTGCAACGGACAGAAGATGGACGCCATGGTGAGAGAGTCCATCTGCTCATACACAGTGATAATCAATAATCAGATATCAGTTAAACCTCAGCGAGCTGCACTCATCGGACAGACACTGGACACAGTTTCTATGGAAACGTACACGTGTCACATCTTTATGTTTCTGCTCTGTCCATCAACAGGATGTGTCCTTTCAGAATAAGACTTAAAGCTTTTAGAGGTTTGTTTTTACTTTGGACTTGATGGTCAAAGAAAATATTATTGATTATTGATCCTGACGAGGAAGATATGTCACAACGTGCGCTGTAATTTATAGTTTAAAAGACCTGGTCATGGTGATGACTACTTGTGTGGACTTGATGAAGGTCAAAGTTCAACAGAATCAGAGCGAACAACTCCACAGTCAGTTTGAAAACAGGAAGTAAACAGAGCGAATTAGAAACAACACAACAATAACAACTGAAAACGCACAAATGTCTCAGAAACACAGGAAGTGGACCATGAGTGATAGAAGTGTGTGTGTGTGTGTGTGTGTGTGTGTGCGCGCAGGGGGAGTTTGTGACGACGGCACAGAGACACACTTCATGGTCGGGGAACACGAGTGCTGCATCAAGGCGATGAGCAGTGGGAAGAAGAAGAGCGGCATTGTTCACTGTTTACTGCTGGACGGAGAGAAGGTGGCGGCGTCGACACAATAAGAGCTCACACACAGACACACACACACACACACTGAGGTGTTTACTATACCTGATCGATATCATTGATTTCTGATCAGTTAGATGTTTTTATTACAAGTTTAGAAAACACAGATTCAAAGGAACACACAGAAACGTCCTTGACTTTTAATGCTTGACAGTTTTATTTTGAAGGAGTCCCACATGTCATGCTGTCAAAATAAAAGACTTAAAAGGAGAAATGAACATATTTCTCCTTCAGTGGTTCGTGCGCAGCCTCAACGCAGCATCTATGTTGCTGAACGCGCCTGCGTCAAGTGAGCAGCACTGAGAGGGAGAGGACCGGAAGAACGACGGGTTGGTGTTCAAAATAAAAGCACTAGTTATGTCACAAACATCGCCTTTATAGATGAAAGAACAATAAAACTTGTGTATTTTTAAACTAAAAGCACAGAGACCGGTGAGATTCTGCTGTTTAGACCTTTAATTAATCAGATTAATGACGCTGCTGGACCGTGAATGAATCTGGTGATTTTCTTCTTCTGTGTCAGATTTGTTTTACTGTAAAAACAATCTGTTTACAAGCTGAAACTGAGGAGACGTTCACTGTTCAACTCGTGGAAATAAAAACAAACACAAAGAGCAGAGCAAAAGCATCTGACGAGACGCAGATTGTGTGTTTTTATTTTGTCTTTGTCTCATATGTAGTAGTTTAGTGTCTGTAAAGAATAAGGATGAAATAGACCAGTATATGATGTATACACTGGTCTATGTCCTTTATATGGCTAAAATACATGAATACATACATTAAAATATACAAGTAAGTGATTCAATAAGAAATAAATAAGATTACACAGGTACACTATGACAACTATAGGAAAGCATCTGTACAAGTAGAACTTACAACATTTTCTAAATATCACTGAAATACTCAACAAATACTAACAATAATTCATGTTTTTCAGGCATCACCTGCGGCTCCTGAAGGCAACGTCGACTTTATTTTGAAACTCCGCACCGGAAGCCGTGCCAGCGTGCGTGCGTGAGTGCAGCTTGACTCTGGGGGAGGACCTGCGCTGACGGGAATGACGTCCCCGGCTGGGACACGGAGCTCCGGCTTCACGGGATGGACCTCGCCGCTCGGGAAGGGGGATCGGCTGAGTGTTTGGGCGCCGCGTGCGGGACTTACCTGTAAAACTCGAGACGTTTCACCTCACCTGGACTGTTTTCTGGAGGCGCGCGAGCTCTCCGGGGTTCTCGCTGCTGGGATTTTAATAGGTCGAAGCGAGGGGGCGGTAATTGGCGCAGCTGGTCCCGGAGCGGAGACAAAACAACGGAGGGACGGACGGAGGGAGCGGGCATCCTGACTAACTGTTCCCAGGCTGCCGCACTGACACCCGCCGCTGCTCTACTCTGATTTTCCGAAGCGGCACATCCAGGCTCCTCATCGGGGCTTCAACCCGGCTGTCTGTCCGCATGCAGAGCGGACTTTAACGACGGAGGAGCGGCGAGTTTTCCCTTCTTCTCCCTGGTTTGGAAGCTACAGCTAGTTAGCATTAGCCGGCTAGCCGAGCCACCTAGCAACAAGGCCGTTTTTTATCCTCCTCGTCTGGACACTTTATGACTCCAAGTGACTCCGAAAGCTGCTGAGAAATCCACCGGGACCGGGCCGAGTGTGCTTTTCATCCCGGCCGGACTGCGGGGATATGGGGAGGCGGTGCTCACACCGCAGCACATCTGTCGCCGCACCGGAATTGGGAGCCGGGACACCCCGGGGATCAGCTGCCTTCACCGGTCAGTAGCAGCAGTCTGGCCGCGGTGCTCCGGAGCCGACCTCCGCTGAGACAAGTTCCAGAGGACCCCGGGGATGTAGAGGAGGATCCAGAGACCGGAGGATCTAGAGAAGCCTGACCGTGAAGAGATCAACCAGCTCCGGGTTCTCCAGGACTCTGAGGGGGAACCATGATTTAACGTGGTTTCCCTCCTGGAGGTCACAGCGATCACCTTCCTCATCACCACGCTCCGCTCCCCGGGCTTCAGCCCCGCTGTCCCGCCGCCGCCGCCGCCGCCGCTGTTCTCCTGCTGAAGTGCGTGTGGATCCGCTGCAGGGATGAACTACCAGCAGCATGTCGCCAACTCGGCCGCCATCCGAGCCGAGATCCAGAGGTTCGAGTCCGTGCACCCCAACATCTACTCCATCTACGAGCTGCTGGAGCGGGTGGAGGAGCCGCTGCTGCAGAACCAGATCCGGGAGCATGTCATCGCCATCGAAGGTAGGACCTGACCCCGGGCTGTGGGGGGGGGGGGGGGGTACAGATGTTGACACCTGCAGGGTTGTAGGTTGGATTACCTGGATGTGCTGAACTGTTCATACGTCATGTTTTGGTAAACAGCTGTATTGATCCAGTATTGATTATCGGTATTGGATGTGGCAGATGGTGGTGGTGGTGGGGGGGGGGTGAGA